TCAGTAAGCAAAACACGATCTTTGTTAAAGATGTCGATGCTCCTACAGACTGCATTGGCAGCAGAAACACGTCTGGCAGAGGGACTGGCCTTGAAATTACGTTCTTATATATATAAAGAAATTTTGATACCAAACATAAAATCTGAGTGGTTAACACCTGTGCTTTATATTCATTAGATCACTGGTTCCAATGTCAACCCAGAGACCAGCTATCCTGACAGAGGTTTTCTGTGGTTGTGATAATACTTTAAATTAGGCTATAACCATTTCCAATTCATTATTCATTAACCTTTCAACCATGTGTCATTTCTTATGTGTTTATGCTTGTCATTCATTGCATTAATATTCTGTTAAAACATTAATCTCAGAACTGAAGTCCATCTGGCAGCCCTGTGGTTTAAAATCCCTATCCCTGTATGATAGTAAACCATCTTATCATTTTGACACTAGTCTGAACTTCTGGCAGCTTAGTCAAATAAAAATATATGGCATGATGTGTGAAGCCAGTTATAGCAAGGTAGGATTGTGAACTACAGTATGGTGGTACATCTACCAGTGTTGCTAAGAGCTTTGTTATAATTTCTTCAATTATCAGTGCTATAAAATTGTCATAGTAGAATATGTATATATAGACATGCATTTTTTACCATATTGACTTGCACATTTCTCACAGTTTTGTAATTCTTGCTTCATTGTTCCTGAAGTTTAGTAATATTTCACAGTATTTAACTGTCATGTTGAAATGTAATGAAATGAATTTTACACCACTTCAGATATAAACTTTCCCACATTGTCATAAATCTTCAGTGTGTTAGGCAACAAGATAAATAATATTTTCTGTCAATTAATTGGCTTTTGCTTCAGGAAGTTGTTCTGTTTTACTACCAGGAATGTTTCAATAAGTTCTGGCTCAGTACTTGTGTTAGGTGGAAAGATGGACTTTCTATATTATATATTTATTGCCGAACAAGAATGATAGATAAATAATTATATTTGCATAAATATTAGGAAAATGCAAGCTGTGTTAATAACTTTGCACATTCCAGCCAAAAAGAATGCACACTTCTTGAAGCCAGTAAAAGGTTAGTCCCAGGAACTTTATAGATTAAGTAACATTAATACTGTGATGACACCACCTGTCAATTATTTCCCTATCGGAGCACTCGTGGACAAGGAAATCAGGATCCTAGAGCTAACTGTGGATAGTCATGTCATTCATCACTTAACCCTGATGACAGAGATAAGTTTCCAAATTATTGCATATTAACACCATTCTCAAACAGCTGATCACCTGAGAATACTTAATTGCAAACTAAATTACATTTGGCTACTGTGGCATGTTGCTGTAGACATCAGTATGGTAATATTTCCAAAGCTATGTTCTTCAAGCATCATTACTATTTTTAGTTTAGTGGAAGCAAATATTTACAGAATGTCTAATGGTCTTGCATCATTACAAAATTAACCTGAGAAGTGGAGCCACCAATACAATCTAATGGACCCAAGAGTACAGGCATGGATACCTTACATGTGAGTGTATTTTCTGAGAAATATTAAAAAATTTGCTTGCTTTTATATTTTCTTTATAAATTCAGGCAAGACCAATTTTGAATTGTTATTTGCTATTCTTATGGGTTAAGAATATGAAGCCTGTTCCTAAGTCAGCAGTGCTTGTGCTTTTTAAATGTAATAGAATCCTTACATATTTGTATTGCAATAATATTCAACATTTTTTGGAAAATTCCAGTGGAATTTTTTCAAAATATAAGTTGCATTCACAGAGTATGGACCATGTGACAAGCCAATTTTACAGAACATTAATGCACTTACAAAAATATTGACATAGTAATTGCTACTTCAAAATTTTACTTCCATTCCTTCAGTCTTCATACAATAAAACAATTAGTAAGAAAAAGTTGTGAATAAAACAAACTTATGGATGTAGACATAACTTACCACATCATTTAATCCTTTTCAGTATATCTTGTGAAAAGGCTCATATATTTCTGGATAGCACATAAGTGGAAATGCCAGGGAGAGGGAGATGATTGTGGTTTTGTTCTGTTACAATGACAGTTTATTTGATGTTATTTTATTGAGAGATTTGTACATTATTTAGTTGTAATTTTAATTACACAAAAGGTACAAAGGTTTGTCAGTATTAGAACAATAACTAAATGAACACTGCTTCTTAAAGGCAAAGGTGCATGCAATGCTGAGTTTTATATGCTGTAGTGCAGTGTTGAAAAATATCAGAAGCAAAAGTTATTAAACCATCCATGTTCAAAACCACACATACAAAATCATACAAATGAATAAAAGAAATAAAACAAAATTATTTTTTCAATCTATGCATTCACAGAATCTATTACATAATTCAAAATATTATTAAGTTGAGTAAGCACTGCCTGACATTCCTAAAACTCATAAGAACTCACCAGATTAAGAAATTAAATATGTCAAGTGATTTTTAAATACAAATATTCGTAATACTAGTGACCAACAGTATTCCTTGGAAAATGGTTTTATGCTGGCTAATGAAATGTTCCATGGATCCTGTATCCTGAAGTTCTTATGAAAGCTGTCTAACTGTAGCAGCACTTGTAAAATACATTTTACCACTTAGCATCAGTACTGAGAACTTTCAAGCCTCTGTGAATGCAACCAAATAGGCATCAAATCAAGTAACATGAAATTGGGTTTTATTCTAATATTTTGAAAAGAATATCCAGTAAAGTGGTACAGTAGGAAAGTGTAAAAATGTATTCCCACCAAAATCATAAAGTAAGCCATATTCTTTCACCTTCATTTTTGTTCCAACAAAATAAAAAAAAATTAAAGGAATAAAGAGTTAAATAGATTACATGCAAAAGGTATGAGTTGTTTTTCAGAAGTGCACAATTTCAGTTTACTTTAATATCTAACTGCCATGTAGGGCAAAGTATTCCCATAAGTATGAAGTAAATGCCAGCTGTTAGAAGGTTAATTTTGGCTTCAAATAAGTTTAGCTATAAACTAAATAATTCATAGTGCCTGTGTACTTTTCAGCAAAAGCTTTTCCATCAATGGTTGGTGCAGAGAATGCAAATTCATCCATTCCTAACATATATCCATGTATGAAACTGGATCTGAAATGAAATAAAACCATAGCAACTTTAAATCCTTTCTTAAAACCTCTAAATGTAGTAAAGATCCATATTAAATTCAAAATATGATTTAGGTCTTAAAATGTTTCTAATTTTAAGTGTGTGAATATCATATTGAAATGTGTTGCAATGAAATGCACAGGTGTCTAAATGCTCACTATAGGGTGACAAGTAACTAATAAACAGCCTACTGACATATTTTCACCACCAGTGATTAGGTTAATTACCTCAAACAATCCATAATTCTTGAGGCAATTTTCTTCCTTCTGTGATTCTTAGCTACCCATACTCGACTGATGCCACATTTGGCTGGATATGATTCTTCTGAACAACAATCACAACCTTCAATCACACTGTTTAACATCTTGAAAGCAAAGCTGATTTGATGTGCCACTACACAGCCAGTAACTTGCTTGTCCATCACATAAAGGTAGACCTAAGGAACACAGTTTACCTTGTTAAATTGATGTGACTTTCACAGGACATTAAATATACATACAATAAAATCAGGCACGAAGAAACTGTTCTGGCAGAAAACTCAGTCCACTGACACATGATTCCACAAACTGCATTTGACTTATTTCACAACTATGAAAAACAATTTGCTCTCACCCTGTTGTGAAAATCACTTTCGTTATATACAAAATCTCTGTGGTAAGATGCTATATAGGACTCGTCAACTGGGTAACTAATTACAAGACATCATAACCCAGGCCACATTCTAAAGAATAATTTTCAAACCAAACATTGCATGCAATACCTGGCTATTGCTGAGGCCTTCAAGTGCTGAGTCTGCATATCCAAGCTCCTTATCTACTATAGCCAATACATTCTGGACTTTATTCAACCAAGACTTTGGATCACTGGGTTTAATGAGAATCACTCGTTCTGATCCATAGTAGGCAACCACTCGTTCATGTTTCCAAGACTGCAAGCAGCAAGATAACATTTTTAAACATGAGGCTGACTTTAAATTATACTGCACTGTTCCTTCTAATACAATTTCCATTAATTTAAAAATATTAGATATGTGAAATCAATCTGAAAAGAAACCAAACATATAAACTATGACAATTTATGAAACAAATTAAGAAAAATTTGAGCATGATTTATGAAAAATTTAAAGCACTCTATTTACTTGTGCATGTAATATAAAATACATAACAGATCTAGTTAAGTTATTTTTACATACATATTCACCATTTCTATATTGCAAAAGTAAATAAATTTAGTGTAATTCCTTACTTTATAACTTTTATTGTTTTTATTTGGTACAGATGATTATCATAATAACAAAGGAAAGGAGTAAAATTATTCTATACACTAATCCTTCAGAACTTTAGAACATCATGCTACATACTGTGTATTTCAAGTCATGGCCATTGTTATGGTATTTTTGATGAAACACCTCATCATCTGGATCTCCAATTTGGTACACAATGCCACATTCTTTGCACTGTGTTGCACCAAACTTCTTCTGCCCTGCATCAATGATGTATTGATAATCTCCAATTGACCTCCATGACTGTTTGTTTCCACGCAGGCTCTTCACATTGGTTAGACTGAGTGAAAAAGAAAATCGTAAGTTTCACAAAGGAACACACAATATACCTTGCATCACACAGCCTATTGAATATTAATACCTCTTCCATCAGGAATTAAAAGTATCTGACTTCTATTGCAGTTACCTAACTCCTTGTATTAAATCTTTATAGCCAACACAAACACACAAGCCCACCACAGGATACTATAGAACATTCTGTATAATTGGGATTACCAAATTCTTGGACTGTCCATCCTGTCTTTTTAAACTGGATGACGTACACACACGAAGACTTTAATAATCCTGATTGTAACACACCATCATCAGTACCTTTTAAAATTAATATTCTGTATAGTTTAAATACATTTCAATGGTGTTGATATTATAAGTGATTAAAGCAAAATGCATACTGTTGGTGCAATGTCACTCTCTACTCCATTTATAGCAAAACATTAAAATATATCAAACATCAGGTCACCTAAGTCATTTTCCTTTGAAGTTTCAACACCTGCAAAAATGGAAACTGAAATACTTGTGCATGAACCAATGGGCTCGAAAGTAGACACGAACAAAAGTGTCTTAGACTGGTTACACTTCCAGTTTTTTTCCATTCAGTGGCATAGTTTGATTCTAATCCTAATCTTCTTCACAGCCTGATGTTGTACAATGATATTTCAATTTTAAATGACTCTTCTGACAGTAAAATGTGTTATAAGACAAACCATACTATCATATAACTGAAACACCAGAAACTGTAGGTTGTCTTTGAGGTCCTGCTACAATGCAACAGCCTCTTCCAGTGTGAAGTATTACAGTAAATTTTAAAACAAAAAAGATTTTTGCATAATAATTGCTTGAACAGTTTGTAGCAACTGTCAAATACCACCAAGTTTCTTCTTCCTGTATTAATGTTTTAATGTACTGAAAATGTGGGCATGTGTATGATTCTATTATATATATCTATGTGGGTATGTATGCATACAAAGAAAATATTTCCTCTTTGTAGCTGTGTCTTCAAATCAAGTACTTACTCTGCAAGTTTATTGGCTGAAGTCTTGTAGAAAACAGGGTAATATTTATTGCCATTCTCTTTCTCTGCATTATGTTCCGTGAAATTTTCTCCTGCAAACAAAAATTCCTCCTGACTTTTTTGCATGTTTTCAGAGTCAATTTTTGCTGTGCTAGCTACAAAAGTACTCCCACTCGAGGGATTAGATAATGTCTGAGCTGTCTGCAGTAAAGGCTGATGTGGTAGGCCATCATCTATTGCCAATGACAATGTTGATGTAGTAATTGCATAAATGTGATGGTTAGGGCTCTGCAAGTCTCCCACAGCTGGTAAATTATCCTTCTTCGGACTTTCTTCCAAGTTTTTCAGCAGAATTTCAACATTGTCATGGACGGTTTCTTGCACTATCTCAGTAGTGCTCTTCTCAGTAAATATGCCATTGTTTTTGTTCAGGCAATACTTTGATATATCCGCTTTAGGCATTCTGCAGGATTTTGACTTTGTTACAGGCTTGCAGAGGGAGAATTTTCCATTGCTGACCTTTAACCTGCAATAAACAGGGTAAAAAACCAAGATTTTTTCACAAGTACTTAAAATAATTACAGAAGGAATATTACCTTGACCTCTGAATTTTAGCAACAAGCAATAATATTGTTTTATACATTATTAATGCTTTATCCAGTCAATCTGACTGGCAGTAAAATATTATTTGAAGATAATTTATGACATGCTAACTGGGATTTCAGAGCCAAGACAATATCAATTTTCCTTTAGATTTTTTAGTATACACATTGGACACAAGAGTTTAAACATGTCCATGCAGGTAAAATTTTGATAAACTGAATTTAATACAATTTTAATTATAAAACCTTAATTCCTTATTGAGCACCAATGTATTTACCATCAAAAAATATATACTTCAATCTTACATTCAACTGATCAATAAAGAATAATCAAACCTGCAAATTATACTAACTTGATATTTTTTTCAAGAGTGACTGTGGCACTTGTGTTGATCTTCAAAGTGCGTTGAGTTTTGAAGAACTTTTTTGCTGGATCTGGTGGAGGACTTGACGGAGGTGTTGGTTCCATTGTATCTGAAGTCAAAGAGATACTTGACCTCTTCAGATTGCTGCCAATAGAATATGTTTGTATACAATGAGTGGAAGGTGAATGAGCATCTGTACCAACAAGGTTCTTTGTGTCTGTACTAGAGGTCTCAAACTTGTCTACATATGAATGTATTCTGTCTTCTGGTGTAATCTTGGGCTGTGCAGTGTCAACTGGATGTTTGTATGTGAACTTCTTTTTTGTATGTTTCTTAATCCTGTGATGTACACCAGCATTGATTTCACCAAGTTTACGGCGTTTTGTTCCTTGAGATTTTGAACTGGACAGAGAGAAACGCATATGCAAATGAGATTCAGCATTTAGTGATCGCTTAAGGTTCTTGCTATGGATAACTGAAGCTACGGTATTTCTGGACTTGGAGAAATGTTCAGGAAACAGTGCTGCCCTAGCACGAGAAGTATGGTAAAAGGAAGAAGTTGGCAATGAGCTCAATTTACCAACACCTGTGGAGGCATTTAAAGGTTTCAGTACTGTGCTTGAATCATTATCTGATTTGGCTTTCTGAAGCACTTTTACTGGTGCAACTGGAAAAATGTCAGGACTTTCTCTGATTACCATTTTTTGTGGTTTTAGTTTTGGAGTTTCTTCAATTTCTTTTTCTTTACCTGCAAGACATTTGAAAGGTGTCACAAGAACCATTTTCGAGGGACCCTTTGCAGGGCTTTCTTCTACTAGCTCCATGTCAGTAACTACACCTTTTATTTCGTCTTGACCATGATTGTCAACTCGTATTTTATCTGGTGGAAATTTCTGCAATGAAGATGAGCTGAAGTCACAACTGAAAAGCCTTGGAGATTTGCTAGTTTCTGTCCTTTTTTTGACTGGTCCAAAAGGCGATTGCCGGGGCCAATGTTGATCACACTTCTTTGGTGGAGTTTCTAAAAGCCATTGTGGGGAAGGTGGTGGTGAACTATACCGATCTGGAGACGATAAGCTCAGAGGCGACATGTGTCCCAAAGTACCGTCACTGCCTTCATCTTCAGGGCTTCTTGAGAATAAAATCCTCTTTCTTGCAGATTTTGGAGGAGTGATATTCACATAACCTGGCACACTTTCTACAACTGAGGACTCCATTCAGAATTTTCAGAAACTGACGATGCACAGGCTCGCCTAGACGAGTACTTAATTAATACTCACAGCAGCGCTGTAAAATATTCCACACTTCTCCAATATGGCAGATCAAACAGAAGTGTACATAAATTCAATCACCTTTGTCATTTGAAATTATACTTCCATTATGCACACAATGAACTTTCAACTAACCGGTCATTTCTTTCCCGCGTGAAGAGGTTTGTTCATTACATCACCTATTTATGTTCTGTGCTGATACACTGGTTCGAAGCTAAAAATACTGAACTCAAAATCGTGGTTTACTCTAGCAGTAACGTTGGCAGCGCCTAAAATCCGGCCAAAGAGATTCTGTATTTCTCTTAGCCTTTACTTTCTGACCAACAAATTATGTATGATCTTGTTGATCTGTGAATAACTTGGATGCTTTCCATTCCTCTCACCTGATGGTCGGCACGAAGTGTGCATTCCATAAAATAATAATAGGAATGTAATTAAGAAAGGAGTAGAGAAGATCCTGAAATACAGGGACCTTCTCATTGAAATACAGAGAATATGAAAAGTGAAAGAACAACAATCCTAATAATTATAGGAGCAACTGGAACTGTCAGCAAATCACTTACAAAATATTTGGCCAACATCCCGGGCGAACACGACATCAGGGAACTGCAGAAGACCGCCATTTTGGGATCTTCATACATCATTCGAAAGACGCTGTCATTCTGTCTTCTGGTGTAATCTTGGGCTGTGCAGTGTCAACTGGATGTTTGTATGTGAACTTCTTTTTTGTATGTTTCTTAATCCTGTGATGTACACCAGCATTGATTTCACCAAGTTTACGGCGTTTTGTTCCTTGAGATTTTGAACTGGACAGAGAGAAACGCATATGCAAATGAGATTCAGCATTTAGTGATCGCTTAAGGTTCTTGCTATGGATAACTGAAGCTACGGTATTTCTGGACTTGGAGAAATGTTCAGGAAACAGTGCTGCCCTAGCACGAGAAGTATGGTAAAAGGAAGAAGTTGGCAATGAGCTCAATTTACCAACACCTGTGGAGGCATTTAAAGGTTTCAGTACTGTGCTTGAATCATTATCTGATTTGGCTTTCTGAAGCACTTTTACTGGTGCAACTGGAAAAATGTCAGGACTTTCTCTGATTACCATTTTTTGTGGTTTTAGTTTTGGAGTTTCTTCAATTTCTTTTTCTTTACCTGCAAGACATTTGAAAGGTGTCACAAGAACCATTTTCGAGGGACCCTTTGCAGGGCTTTCTTCTACTAGCTCCATGTCAGTAACTACACCTTTTATTTCGTCTTGACCATGATTGTCAACTCGTATTTTATCTGGTGGAAATTTCTGCAATGAAGATGAGCTGAAGTCACAACTGAAAAGCCTTGGAGATTTGCTAGTTTCTGTCCTTTTTTTGACTGGTCCAAAAGGCGATTGCCGGGGCCAATGTTGATCACACTTCTTTGGTGGAGTTTCTAAAAGCCATTGTGGGGAAGGTGGTGGTGAACTATACCGATCTGGAGACGATAAGCTCAGAGGCGACATGTGTCCCAAAGTACCGTCACTGCCTTCATCTTCAGGGCTTCTTGAGAATAAAATCCTCTTTCTTGCAGATTTTGGAGGAGTGATATTCACATAACCTGGCACACTTTCTACAACTGAGGACTCCATTCAGAATTTTCAGAAACTGACGATGCACAGGCTCGCCTAGACGAGTACTTAATTAATACTCACAGCAGCGCTGTAAAATATTCCACACTTCTCCAATATGGCAGATCAAACAGAAGTGTACATAAATTCAATCACCTTTGTCATTTGAAATTATACTTCCATTATGCACACAATGAACTTTCAACTAACCGGTCATTTCTTTCCCGCGTGAAGAGGTTTGTTCATTACATCACCTATTTATGTTCTGTGCTGATACACTGGTTCGAAGCTAAAAATACTGAACTCAAAATCGTGGTTTACTCTAGCAGTAACGTTGGCAGCGCCTAAAATCCGGCCAAAGAGATTCTGTATTTCTCTTAGCCTTTACTTTCTGACCAACAAATTATGTATGATCTTGTTGATCTGTGAATAACTTGGATGCTTTCCATTCCTCTCACCTGATGGTCGGCACGAAGTGTGCATTCCATAAAATAATAATAGGAATGTAATTAAGAAAGGAGTAGAGAAGATCCTGAAATACAGGGACCTTCTCATTGAAATACAGAGAATATGAAAAGTGAAAGAACAACAATCCTAATAATTATAGGAGCAACTGGAACTGTCAGCAAATCACTTACAAAATATTTGGCCAACATCCCGGGCGAACACGACATCAGGGAACTGCAGAAGACCGCCATTTTGGGATCTTCATACATCATTCGAAAGACGCTGTCATAAAATAAAATTATATAATACATGTAGCACTTGCTAAAAACAATATGGATCCCGGAAATAGCTGCTGCCTTATGTACCTTAGGGACAAAGTCTGTCTCGGGTACATGGAAGTACATACCCCATAAAGTGGTGAATAGATGGGATAATAATAATAATAATGAGATTTTCACAGTGATCATATTAATCTTCCACTCGTAGTTGGTAAATGCTATAGTCCTCTGCTTGCAACGTGCCATCTGATATCTGTTTTAATGGAGACCACACAGAAGAATGCACTTTATTTTCCTTCATAGTCAGTTTGTCTCACTAATAATGAGGTAATGGCGTCGGTGAAATCAAACTCGTTTCAAGTGTCATTGCTCTCGTTCTGTTGCTATAGTAGTAAGTCACCGTCCGTAGAACAGATCATTACCGTTGTTATTATTTGTGCCTTGGGCAGGGTATTCATAAGAATATAGGTATTATCTACGTGGTAGCTGTATTGTCTTAATTTCCAGAGGAGTTCCGGAGCCAGGCCTGAAGCAGTTAATTTTTGTCATTATTTTTGTAGTAATCTTTTATAGTATATTGATATAATCTGTTTTAGTATGCATACTCTGTTGGTTTTGTAATGAGGTTTCCGATAACAGTATAAATGGCGGGAATCAACAGGTACTTTGACTTTTGTTTTTAAATGTATTTATTGCATTTGTATATAGTGCATCAGCTATGAAATTTTTTACAGCTATTGTCGAACAGTTGAAGATGTGCAGAATGTTATTCAGCATGCAAAATTGTCTGATGATGAACTGCATCCACTGACCCAGGTGTTGAGTTTTGCTCCGAAGATTGAAGTTCAAGAAAAATACAAATTCCTAGAGTTAGACTCAACTCTACTGAATAATTTGCAGAATGGACAAAGGTATATAATTAATCTGGTTGGAAACTACTTCAGAATATGGTGATGTCTATTAATAATATTGATGCCACTGAACAGTGTCTTTGAGCCCAACAATGGTATATAACACTTATGTCAACTGTGATTTGTAAGATTTGAAACTTTTATGGAGATTGAATGTAGTAGAGTCTTCTCAGATGATCAGCAACTGAGAAGACTTCACTGAGTCAACTATGGTAAGTTGTTTTACTTTTATCCCACAGTTGTAGGTTCTTAAAGTAAAGTGTTAGGGCAGCCTGGCCCACATTTTCAGGTTGAATGAAATGGGATTGAGTTCATTGAGACTGTATAGTAGGTCTGTTGCAATTTCTCTTGTAACTTCATGATCTTCCCTCTCAGTAATAACACTGTTTTCTTTACTGATGATATTAGCGTAATAGTCAAACCTATGTTATAAAACTATTGAATTATATATTTTTTGCTGTGAACAAGTAGTTTATAGTTATTAAACTTACTAGCTATAGATATACAAGAAAACCAAATTTACTTTGAAACAAATTAACATAAAATCAATGAGATGTGCAGAAGAGCAGTGCATTTGAAAAGTAAGTTGTTCATTGGTGACAATGTATCAACTGTATGCCATCTTCCAGTGAAGAGACAGCAAGGAATGTGGTTGAGAAAACAGGTTAATCTTCACTATTCTGCTGCTCTTTCAGGAACATAAATTGAACTTTCTTTCACCCTAGTCTGAGTAACAATTTAAGATGATGTCTTCTGGGTTGTTGTGCCATGTAATCTTGGAAAATGACTGATGATTCAGAGCTGCTTACTGCTTCCATTATGAGGGCAATATTTCACTTGGGTAATAATTATCTGAAAATAATACTGATGTTTTAGCTTGCTCAGTGCAAGTTGGCAGCCTTAATAATTTTCTCACCCTCTCTTCATTGAAAGGTAGGATGATTATGAACAGGAAGAAATGGAAGGAAACAAAATAATATTCTAGAATTTGCCTTGAGAGATTGAGGAAAACTGAAGCCTTAGGTTGGCTGCTCTCTCACGTAAGATTCAACCTGGATAAAAATAAGGAATTGACCTCTATAGCATGATATAATGTGATTTGATAATAATCTTAGGGCTTACCTGATACACCAGTCTTATTATCCATTACAGATAACATATCTAAAAACATTTCAAAGTTCTGTGTGAGATTTCAGGTTCTCATAGGGAAGAGTATAATGATGACACACTTCTGGGATGTTGAATCATGTAGTCTTTTAGATAGTGACAAATGTGTATTGAGATCTTCTAAAATGTCAGTAAATATTTACCAGAGTACATGGTGGAACATCCCAGGAGACAGCTGTTTTCATTCAGGAGGTCTGTTTGTTTTTAAAAGGTTCTGTTAATTATATATGTATTGGAGTTTCATTCTCTTATTTCCTGTGGAACTTCAATTTATGTATACCTTGCAAGCACACACGTAGTTCGTGAGTGGCAAGATCTAATATAGTTTTGTGCCTTTTAGTTTGGTATTTCGTGGCACCAAAGATGAGAATGCGGTCTTATGTACAAATAAACAAACATATGACGTGAAGGAGGCAGAGACATCTAATTCATTACTTCTCTTGCCTGATCTTAGGTGGCCAGCACAACAAACTGTTGCTGAAACAGGAAGAATGTTGGAAGAGAAGCAGGTAATACATTTTTGTTATGGTCAAAGTACCCTGCATCTAACAGAATTGGAAAATGCTAGTGCTTTAGCTCTTACCACCATTAAGAGACTGTGAATTTTTATAATTACTGTTATGAAACTAAAAGTGTTGCTTTACGAGAACGCTTTAATGCAGAACTTGATGGTAGGCTTTTTAAAAATGATCTTTCAGTAATCTTGTATTTTTCTTGAGGATGTTTTTAGAGTACAGTAACCATTTGTGTTGGGTAGTTTGAAGAATTCTTCAATGACTTACTGACCCAAAATAAAATCTGAATTTATTGACTGGGTGGTGGGTTTAGGTAAGTTGGAATGATTTATGCTAGGACTGATAATTGTAAATGAAACCAGTTTCAAAGACAGGTTAACCTGGATATATTAAATTCAATTCTTTATTATTAATATGTTGCATCAACAGTAAGATGGCCAGTTGTGGATATAACACAAGGTCAAAATAATAAATGCAACTAAATAATAAAGCTATCAAGAAATTATATAACTATAACAAAGGTTAACACTCGTAGGCAACCAACTAGTGAGCATCAAGGAAAAAATTACTTAAAAACATGCTGCTGTAAAACCAAATACTTACAATTGTATCACTGCACACTTATAGGTTATATATTGTCAGATGACAGAATGTTCAGGAATGATGAGTGAATTAAGGAGGATGTAGAGGGAACCAAAATAATGAAATTTCTTTTGTCTGAAAATATTGAGGAAACCATGAAAAATATTAGGATAACCAGTGTCTGGTTTGAGATTTGAATTCATGATTTCCTGTATCTAAAGCATGTGTTCTAGGCACTGCATTACTGTCTTGGGTGTGATAGAATTGCAGCTGGGAAGATGCATAATAGTTTACGTCTTTAATTAAAGGGAGACTTATGTATCTGCATCTGTTTTAGTTGATCATAATTTTATTACTTATTAACAGGTATTGGGAGTATTTCATAAATATTATGAACTTAGAATCTGTAAACCAAAACTTCGGAAGGTGCACCAGTTGTTGGAGAAATGTCTGTATCGAGGTCCTGAGTATGAAGATGATATTGTGAAAACTGGAGTAAAGTTATATACGTTCCAGGATCTACTGGATAATGTGCAGGCTAGTAAGCTAGAACTGAAAGCAGAACTGAAAGAAAATATGGCCTTCTGTATAAATGGTTAGTCTGTTGCTTAAAAATATAACTCTGATTATTATAAAGTTGATAATATAGTAGTACAGTCCAGTGGTGGTTTCTTATGAGCACAATAATTAAATGAACTTTCAGGTTCTATGAAAAAGGCAGGTTTGACTAGCTGAGTTAGTATTAGTAGCTTCTGAAGGAGGACTCTGCTCCAAGAATTAGTTTTAATCTTTTGATTTTATTACTCATTTGTCTATGGTCCTCTGAGATAATCCCTATACATTGAAGGAAGTTGTTTTAATCACAGAACTCAGTGATGAGATAGCTATGGAGAAATTATGCAGTGGCAGAAGAACTTGTGTTGTTTCTTCCTAGAGAGTGTCAGATTTAAATAATTCTTTCCTCAGATTTGATGTTATGAATGCAAAGTGTTTTCTTGATTGTTTGTTTATTTTGTTCTTTTATGAGTTCTAGTCCTTGCATGGAGGTTACACAAATTGTGGTACAAAGTGTGACAAATTTTGTTAGTGTAAAGTAGTACTAATTGATTGATATATAAGTCTGAGGAAGATAGTGTTAGCACATCTGTAGATGATCTCATTGTGCTTATACTAAGTTGATCACAAATAGATTTTTTGTAATAGATATTGTTATTTTATGAATTGCATTTTTCTGTAGCAGTAGTCGTATAATCCTGCATGCATGATGATTTCCATTATATTAGGTGCATGGCGTTTCTTGGAGCATGAATACCATTTTCGCGTACTGTCATACATCCTAAACTTTGTGGATGAGAACTCCTGGCCTATCAACCAGGTTAACAAAACAGAAACTTTGCAATCTCTGGCTGCCTTAGTACCAATGGATATACTGGACCAGTGCTTTTCCTGGTATGCAGAGGAGACAGTGGCAGCCAGCAAAGAAGGTCAGTACTACAGTTTAAAATAGCATGAGAATTTATCAAACTCACAGTTTCTCTTCTGGTGTTTCATGTCACTTTGGTATTGTTCAAGACTGTCATTGCATAATGACAATTTTTTAAAATGAAACCTATAGTGAAGTTTATAGAGCTAAACATTTGTCCAATACATTTCCTCTTCAGAATATAGTTTTTTCCGCTTTATGAAGTTTGGTTCCTGAAGTGCAACCATAATATCCATAAACAAAACATTAAAATGTACTGTGTAGTTAGTTCTCACATTTATTCCCAGCTTAGAAGATGGAAATTTCTTATGAGCCCCCCCTACCCTATCACTTGGAGTACTTCTTAGTATGATCCCTACGCTTTGACCTGTCCGACAAGGGAGGCCCTACCAGTAGCTACGCTACTGCTGGCATAGCTCTCAGGGTCATGGGGATACGCAAACTCCACCACCCACGTTAAGGTCCCGTACTCCGTAGGTGGAGATGTTTTATATATATTTACTAAAAATTAAAACAGCATTCCAGATAGATGACATTTCATGCACTTGATATAAATCTTTACAAAAAAAAATTGAAGTTGTGAGAAAAGTGGAAGCAGATCCAATTGTTTCATGTGTTCTTCCTACCTTAGCAGTTCAAATTTAACAGGCTTTTTAAAGAAAGTCACATTCAGTAAGTTTTAAGATATACTTCTACCTGTATAGAAAATGTAGTTAGAAAAAATGAAAATGACACTCAAAATCAACTCTATTTCACACACATACATATTTGGTTACCATTATGTAACAAATTAGTTGGTAAAGCACAAAACTTCTGTGCAAGAATTGATAGTATTAGTTGATTATGATCAGTTATGGAACATTTATTTCCACCTGGCCAATTTGCATTATCCTTTGTTTCTCTGTTCTCTGTGTTAGATTGTGAATACAATATAAGAAAGAAGGAAGGTGTTAACATTCTTTGTGTTGTAGTTTTTAACATTATTTGAGTGATAAAATGAAAACTTGGCTCTATGTTAGATGAAGAGGAAAGCAATGATTTTACAAGAAAAATTAAAGTGCTAAGAAAAGTAGATGCAAATACAACTCATATATTTTAAGTAAGAGCAAAGTAATAAATAAAAGTAACTGACAGTGACTTTTTATTTTTCCTTAATAAAAATAATAGTAATGGTTATCTTTGCCAGTAATAGTCTTTATCTGTTACTGATGTTTCCTTGTTTCTTCCAGGGTCTTCAGTAATGTATAAAGTCTGTTTTTGATTTAATTTGTAATTGTGTAATTTCTTTATGACTGGAAATGGTGTCAGCTGTTGTGTCTCATGAAATGCAATTCACCTGTTATTTATGTTTCAGGTGAGCCATTGTATAGATTGCTAGAGGCAAGAGTATGTCGTTTCTTAGCTGAAGTTTTGTTGCGTCAGGCAGGGAAGTTTAATCTGGAAGAGTTTCTTTTATCATGGCAGCAAAGTGTGCCTGAAGGTTAGTAGATTAAATATTTTGATGTGGATGTTTTGGAAAATTAGTGAAGTTAAACCACATTTCTGAAAAGAAGAATCCATACTCTTATGTGTGGAAACATGATGTTTTTGCTTCCGTACAGGGGGGTTACCTTTTCTCCATAAAATGAAAAATTTTATGGGTGTTAAGACATTGGTTGAATTTCATACAGCTTCTTATACATTAATATTCTGCATTCTGATTTATAAGGGTGATAAAAATCTGTAGCACAACTTCCTTCTCAGGGGAAGAAAAGCTGTCGGTCCCATGTCATAGATTTATGGCATGTAAAAGAACCTTACGAACATGAATGAGTTGTTTTGTGAGCAGAATTTAGTGGCCATTTCTCAACCATGTCTCCTTATTCTCTACTGGATGGCTCTAGCAAACAAATCAGGACAGGGTAGAAATTGTGCAGAGGCAGTGGGCTTGTTACACACTACTCAAAAATGCATTTCAAGACTAAGGACAAGTTGCTTTGAGCAGCTGTCCCGGAATGGGCCAATGGTCCGATCCTTATAGCGGAAATGAATGAATGAATGTGAAAGAAATAATTCAGTTCTGTGTGGCTTAAAGAATTTGCCTTGTGTGTGAGTGTAATTTGTTGCAATGATTACATTTATTTTGTAGGGATGCAAACTTCAGAAAAATATCTGGAAGGGATGGCTTTAATGGACAAGAATTCTAAACCAGAAGTTATATGGTACTTCTCTGAAGCTGACTTACCTGAAGATATTAATGAAAGAATTAGAATTCTCTTCCAAACACGAGAAAAATGGACTCTGGATGAAATTCGACCTTATGTTCAGTAAGTTTTTGTCTTATTCTGAATCTCTGATAGTTCCATGCAATATAAAATACCAAAGTATTCTGCTGGAACAAAAAGCCACATATAAATTGCTTTATTCTACTGGTAATATAAAAAGTTGACTAGAGTGATGTATTTTCTTATTGTATGAATTTAGAACAAGCTTTTCCCTGACAAATATAAAACAGTCTTATCTTCGTTACAGATAAACATGGTAGTTGTGTGAAAATATTACATTTCATAGTTGTCATATCACTTCATCAAGTGAGGTGAGTGAGCTGTTTGCGTAGATCATAATTTCTAGTAATTCTGTTAAATATTTTTTCTTCAGTTTTCAATGTGTCTTGTTGCAGACGACTGGCCACTGAAAAGGTGAATGTGAACGCATTGCTGACAAAATATGCGCGGGCTTCTTCTGTTGGTGGTGTGAGATATTACAGTGCCAAGCATGCTAAATAACTGTGGTGTTCATTCTTCTGTTACATAATGTAGACAGTTCATTAGTCTTTGAAGAAAAACCATATTCCCAGATGTCACGTAAGATATGGATGACTGAAAGTACACTGTAATTATCTCCAGCTTATGGAGTAAATCTGAAACGTGTTCCAGCTTTTCATTTTTTTCCTGGTTGTCATTCTTTCTTGTTTTAATTAGATCATCTGTTCATGAATCCTCAGATCGTTCCTTTTGGAAATGTAGCCTTCTGTAGCCCTGAATTGTCTTTTTGTTATTGAAGTAGAGATGCAAACAATAAGAAATGTTTACCACTTGCACTCATGTACAAGTAATTTTATATCATTATAATTCCACTGAAAATATTTTATTGTCGCATAGTTATAAACAGTATTGTCTGATATTTTAAGCTGCATAACCTAGCCTTAATTCTGACGGTGAACTGAGCCCCTTCTCTTCGTACACTCCCAGTTTTCCAAACTGAAGCTGGCTATTTCAGTCTCTAGAAAGTAAGACACTTTAAATTTTAGCTGAGAAATGCCAAACTTTATTCTTGTGGTATAATAAAATAAGAAAATGTTATACTGTCTTTATATATAAAAAAATTAAGGGTCGTCTGGTTTGTCCATTCTGTACGTTGGTTAAAGTGAAACCTACTCTCATTTCTCAAGTGTCAATTATTGATTACATGTCGTAGACGAGCAAGATGGTAGAAAACGACTTGATGTAAAACATTGAGATCTTACTGCTATGCTTCATTGGATGTGGGCTGTGGCATTACATTATGAAAAACCTAAAATGATCCTATTACAAAAAAAATTTGGTGGACAGAACAGTGGAAATAGAATATTATTTTTTTGATAGTATTTTGCCATTTCGAGATTTTTTTATTATTATTCTGTGTTGTCAATTATGTACAGGCTTATGTATCATGTCAGTATGTGTCAGCCTTGAATAAATTTTGAAATGATGGATTTTTTTGAACTTGGTATGAATGTCATACCACTAGAGGCCATGACACATTTGTACTTTTTTTAATTTTAGGCCAATATGGTAGGTAGCTGAGCAGACTTCAAAGGTAGGAGTGTCGCTTATCCTTGATCTGATCAACCTAATAATATTTGAAATTAAAAGTCATTATTGCAACCAACTTCACTGACATGTTTTTTTATGTCACAATGGAGACATTTATTGAGCTGTACAATTTAAGCTTAGTTAATATAAGGTACTAAATGATGTAGCTATCTTAATTTTGTATTACAACTTAGTATGGGCTGTCTATCGTCTAAATTACAAAGCTATAAAATTAGGACTTTTCGAAAGCTGCTACTTCCGTCATCAGGCAAAATGGGGGAAGAGGATAGGAAATCTATTTGTTGGGCCGCTGGTTGAGATAGCCTCAGACCTGGATCCAGGGTTCCAGTAACAAATTTTCTAGCCGTAATGTATCATGATTCACACAAAAGCCACAGGTCCTCGGTGGACGCCTGTTATTGGAACCCTAATAATACCCGTTAACTGCCGAAAGCTTGAGATCGTTCTGCAATCTTCTGAAAACCATTGAGTCTAAATACCCCAGAGGTAAACGAAACAAGTTCCTAATACCGCCTTTCAGGAGTCAGTTTCTCTTTTATAAAATCTAATTTCCAAAGAATTTAATACTGACTTTATGGGCCCTCTTACAGTCTTCAAACTAATGTTGCAAAGAGTTGTCAATATTTTTCGTTCTTTGGCTTGGATTTTGACCTCATTTCATCCTATTCGTTTTCTTTGTATACGTGAATACTTTCTTTCCAGATCTGAGCTTTCCGTCTTTCTTGCCGTTATTAAGCGTCTTTTTTGGGAATTATCTTCACTGAGTGTGCTGTGATTTCTCTTAGTGGTTTAGGGAAGCATTTAAAATTATTATTGATATTGAATTGTAGCACCCTCGTGTTTTTTGCGAAATATATAAGAATATATATGCGTCTTATGCACAACAAACAGTTTTATTTTTACTCGATAGATTACATAGTTAAAATACAAATTGTTATTGTTTATTTGATTTATAATATTGTTCTAGTTTCCTTTATTTCTAAATATTTCATTGTATTGGTTGTAACTGTGCAAGATGTTCAGATGTTAAAGAAACGAAACCTATGATATATTATTCTGTGAGGTATTTAAACGTTACTTGAAATGTATCTGGCAACTGTGCCGTTGTGAAGACAGCAATTGTAAAACTCTGCCACAAATATTTTATAGTCCTACATATGAATGCGAAAGCCACATTTATAAAAAAAGTTTACTCGTCACTCGTTATACACTTCCATGATAACTCTGTCATTATTTTTTGCACAAGCTGGCGCATAACAAAGCAATTCTGACAGCCAATAGTATGATATGAACGAAATTATATATATATATATATATATATGAGAGAATGAAACAACTCCCTACTAAAATGTTAACTCGCAGTCTCATTGTTCTCATGAATAGTTAGCACTAATAAATTTCGGTGCAGTGAATTCTCGTGAGATGACAATATTAGTTACTCGTTGCTTCTCTGGTAAATATTCCACCGTTTTTCAGTAAGTGACTTTTTTCTTACAAATATTAGTCAACCAGAGTGAGAAAATAACAGGTAAATGGGAAATGTTAATAATGATGCGTTTCACAGTTTAAATGTTTAATTTGGTATTGTTAATTTAGTTCAAGAGGAGTGATGTTGCGATCATGCAGTGCGCGGGAATTAAAGAAATTGCACGTTTAAAATGTGTTTTAAAATCCTCTTCATAACGAAGAGAGGAATAAGTTACATATTTGAACCAAACTTCTTCCACGGATTATTGGCGTGTAAGTATAAAGCAGGGGGAGTCGCTGCATAGAACTTTTATGAGTTTTTGAACGTAGAAAGTAAAATTAACTCGTAAGTCGGAGGCTACGGTTGTCCATTTGCGTGTTCCAACCCTGAAACTACGGAAATTAAGATGAAATTTGGTATTAAGCAGTTTTTCCTATACAGACCGTATGAGTCTGACACAGGGTTTTTACTTTTCACAGCTGTAATAGGCGTACGTATCAGTTGCGGTCCTTTTTTCTTTCTGTAGAGTATTTTTTCATATAACTATAATCCCACTCCACTTCCCAATTATATATTACAAATTTTTATTGGGATAGATGTAAAATTAATATAGCCTATTATTATATTGTTTTTCCGCAAGACCTGACTTCTAGACCAGGATTCGCCACTGGTTGTTACTTCATTTTAAACATTCACAACTCATTTCAGAAGCTACTGACAAATTGCTTCTAAGCTTGTCGCTATTGCTTCATTCATGCATTTTGACACAGAAAAATATGAACTGCATTACTAGCGCCTGCGAATATGAAGTCCTGGCTTTCCAGAAACGTAATTCTTCTGATTAAATGCTGTCGAAAGCGGGAAATCATATCTGGATCGTGAAAAATGTCTTGGATTTTGACTGACCAATTCCTGTTACATTGTGCGTGAATTTGTTCGTTAGTTTATTATAAACACATACATTAGTGGCAATACTAGTATTGAATTTTCTGAATCCTAAATTTCACGAAGCAAGTGGCAAGTGATTTCAATAGGTCTACTTGTTGAAATGTTTGCAATTAGTTTCTAGACACAATGAAGATATTTATCGCTTTGTATACTGGTGGAAGAGGAAATATATTGACTACTTGCGTCGCGTTTATAAAGTTTTGCTCGACATTTCATAGTATAGATTTACAATAGTATATTTTGTTCACAGAATTTATTTTAACATATGAACAGACTGGCCATTCGTTGTTGGGTTTGGTCCAGATCCGAAAAGCACACGTCCAAGCTATGTCTGAGGCCAGGAATCAGCTTAGAGGACGTCCAGTACAAAATCAGTCTTCTGTACACTTCGAACTCTGTTTAAAACATGTGGTCAGTCTGTGGCCCACCGAAAAGTGATGAACTGAGAGATATTACACAACTGGGGAGAGAGCTGTTCCCCACTCCATCAATGTCACAACGAATGACGGGACGACTACTCTCCAGTGCATAAATCAACGCTAAAAGTCGATTTACTGTGGTCCAAATAAGCAAAATTTTCGAACTGCCCCGTACACTATTTCACGATGTTCTAAGTTTATGCTTGCAAGTGTCATGCAAAGCGTATTGTGTAGAGCATCAGTTCATATGGAGTCTATTTTATCACATAACAACAAAATGCATGGGGAAAAGTGATTGAGCTATTTACGGCCGCCCAGCTAATCAAGAAATTACTCATCTTTGATGGAAACCTAAAGTACATTGTCTTCTGCACAAGAAACTGCCGACCAGTTCCTATCCTGACCTAGATGAATCCATTCCACACCCTCAAATTATATTTTTAAATCGACTTTAATACACCATGTCATCTACGTCTTGTTCCATGTGACCTCTTCCCTTCTGATGCTACTTGCCTGGATAATCCTAGTCTTCTTGATTTGATAAAAATAAACTTTATTCTCGTAAGTTTGCATTTTTCATGAAAAATAGCCTTGTACATGCGAATAATGTCCATAGAGTTCATAAATTTGTAATGAAAATTTAGAGAGAAACAATAAGAGTAAGAGAAGATATTGTGTAGAATACAAATACTGAGGTGGTTGGACACATAGATCAATGCGCGATAATATTGGTCAGAACAAGTAATTTGCTAAACCAAAAATAGGAAAAGTGAAAAAGGAAAACTGAAATCGCAATAACGATGGTGTTCTCATAGATAGATACCAACGTATAGGAGAAACACACTGTCTCCATCTTCAGGGCCATTGATAGAATGATTAGTAAAATTTAAATTGGAAAGTATATGGAAGGAAACAGTTGTGGCCTGATGTAAAATATATTTTAGTATTGGCTGGGGTGACTGAGAAGAATCACAAAACTTCTGTCACGATAGCCGGCCTCCAGATTGACATCCGAACTTGGAACCCCTGATTGCAAAGCAGGAATACTAACAACTCAGCATCTACGTTCGGTCAAGTAGGATGCACGGGTCCACATCCTGCAGTTGTATGACGTACGAACAGTTTATTATGTTTTACCACAGGTGTTCTCAGCTAATAATGTAATAGCACATTGCCATCTAATTCAATCTGATAATGGCTGCAAAATAATTAACAAAATTCTGTCGCAGAGATGATTGATTGATGTGAGGTAATTTGCAAATTAAACTGTATGCACATTAGCGAACGAAATGGTTAAAGAGGTCAAAGGGAATTTGCACAAAGTGCACGAAGTAAATTATGTCCTTGTATCTGTCTGTCCGTTTCTCTATTTGCATAGCTTATTATGATTGCGAAACTATTTAACCAGTATCTGTTAAACTTGGTGCTGGGAGTGTACATTATAAATTCCTGAGAGATTTAGTCTTGCTTTCTTTCTACCTACATACATACAATTTGTACTTCACATAAAGCTTCAATAGGTTTCTTTCGACTGTCGGAAACAAAGACGCGTGTCATAAAATAATGGTCCATAATGCAAAATATAGATCTTATCTCGAAATGCAATCTTTACTTTAAACAGATACCATGTGTCAACAGATTACATGTAATAATTCATGATTGCAGATTTTAATATTTATGTAAATTGTTGTAACTACTGTGCAGTTGTATATGGATTACTAGTGTATTTGACTATAGAAAGTTGGTATTCTTATTATGACCTGTTCCGCATCCATGGCTTGAACTGTGAAGGATTCATGGAATTATAAATTATATTTTGTTTTACTCTATTCTTATAAATCTGGTGCACAATGCACGATCGCAAAGAATGTATTTAGAAACCGTTTGCTTCATAGAGTATTCTTCTTCACACTTGTTTAGAATGTATAACTGTGTGACTATTAAACGGGTGGTTTCCAATAGCTTTACTGTAAATGTACAACAAATTGCGCCAGAGAGTAGCAGCATTACCTGTTTCATGAGCAGAAAATTGCTTCACTGAAAGTGACTGAAGACTGTTTCGTATCTGATTAGACGTCTTGATCTGTGAGACCCGCGTGGTTAGTTGTTCGTGGGAAGGTTATGGCTGATATAATAGATTAAGAATAGTGCGTTACGCGAAAATATGTAGTAACTTGACACGTGTGCATGTATACAAACGTGAATCGTGGGAGTAGTAGAGAATTGGACAACTGCATATAAAATGTTCATCGTTTAGGTTAAAACCTGGTGTACTATGACATGCAGTCCGTTTCGTTCCACTTCTTCATACAAGCAGCCAGGCATTTTGAAAAATGGAGGAAACCAATGGGCGTATAAATGATACTTGCAGTTTTAGGTAGACGTGATAAAAGCAGGTGTATGAACTTTATGTGATTGTGTTTAGCAAGAAACGGAAATGTGTTTTGAAGAACTATGGGCAAGATTTTATTTGCAGCAGTGAACGCAGTTTGAAACAACAAATACTAATCCTTTCAGTGACTTTCAATTTGTAAACCCAACTCATGGAGACCAGTCAATGGCAACTGGACCTGCGGTTTGCCAGAAAATCCTCAGAACAAGACTGGATACACCCGTAAGTGAAACTTTTAGCTGTATGCTCTCAATTAGTTTATTGACATTTTGGTTCGCAGATACCAGCTGCATTAAATTGATCTGTGTTACGGCCAATACCAGTAAGTAACCCCAGTTTCAATGACAAGTTAAGCGGGTTATATGAAGTGTAATCAACTAAATGAAGCCACCAAAATGAGCATGTGGCCATCGTAGATTAAAACGATTGTTTTTGATTGTTAGCAAGTTTATTTACTCGGTGTTAAAATATATCTACAGTAAATTTTAATAATATTGCACCTATAGTGGGTGTTTGTACCACTTCAATATAGAACATCATCAAACAGTTTTAACTATAGGTTCTATTTTAATATTGGCATGGCGTCGGGTTCTGTGTCGTCTAAGATAGTCTTTTGTGATATTGTTTTCAGTCTTTATCAATTCAAAAGTCGGGCAACAAGGAATTGGTGGTAAACTGTCTCTGGCTTCAAAATACAGAAGTATATACGTCTATTATAAATTGACGTTAAAATTGCATTATGCTTTTATTAATGTTCATCATTAGCCGCACGTTGAAGAATTATAATTCATGCTCCCGACAATTTTAATTAGTAGTCTATACAGTTTTGCGAACCCCATGGTCGAAAGACTTTCGACCATGGCGAACCCATTAGCACACTTTGCGTCTTACTTGTAATGTAGTCCTTTAAAATTACCTGTATCCATAATTACTCTCCAGAAAGATTGAGTCGTAATATGAAACGGCATGCCGACAAACATTGTGCTGAAGTACAGTGAGCCGACACACTTTTGTAGTTATACGCAATTGTCACTTGACTGCCCCCAGCAAGCGCTACATGACTTTCCCGATATGAATATCACTCCGTAAAAACAATAAAATAAACTTGTTATAAGAAGATATGAAAATGATGTTCTTGTACGTGTTATCTGAATCTTTCTCGGGCTACCAGCTGAGTAAGGTGGTTTAATGGAGAAAACATCTACGTTTCGAGAATCTTCTTCGTCCACATCCTCAGTGTACTGAAGTTGTACTCTGTGCAGTAGGTACCCTGAGGATGAGGACGAAGATTCTCGAAACGTAGATGTTTTCTCCATTAAACCACTTTACACTGCTAGTAGCCCGAGAATAATTTATTATAATAATGTTCTTGTACACCCACACACTTTCTGTGCCATTTAAATAAGTTGAAATTCACAGCTTCGTCGATTAGGCCCATCTCGTCTAATGTTTCTTCAGTAAGCACACGGCGTTCTTTTTAGAATGTTTCTTATCCAAAAGTGATCCATTAGACGTGACTTTTTTAGTTTATGGATTCCTGATGTATTTGAAATTGTGATTCCGAGAAATTTACGACGTAATTTTTTCCGACGCCTTCCACCACATTCATAAAAAACACGCTGTTCAATTGTATATGGAACGATATCCACACTCAAACACACAATAATAATCAGCACTTAACACAATGTCGGACACAGATGCGCTGGAAAGCGAATCATTTTGCGGCAACTTCTGTTAAGTGTTGGTCTGAATCTCGCACAAGTGACTGTTGCGTGTATGTCAGCAAACACACTCTATAAATTATATCCAGAAATTCAGTGTCAATAGTTTAAACAATTATTGAATAATTCTCAAAAGATCGCTCTAAGATCATTAATGCGTTAATTCATGGTACAAGGAGTATTCATATTTTATTTTCCTGCATAATAATAATCATAATACTGACACTCATTGTGACGTCTATAGTGTCATTAGCATCGCATAAACAGATTCGTATCTGCAGTAAATCAACATCAAGACTACTGAAATACGCAGCGTAGAAATTAACTTATTTATAAGTGCATGTACTCCACTCCATTCTAGTATACATTTTTAATCCTGTTTTAACATGAATCTGAAGGCGTTTCTTGCTTGTTTGGTAACTGACGTAGGTAGTGAAACTTCTCGCTCGTTAGTACTGACTTAATTAAGGTATTCAGCTTTTCTTTTACGGGAAAGGAGAAAAGTAATAAGAACAACAGAAAAAGTAATGAAATGTTGAAAAGAAAGGGACATTGTTTCGCAGACTATTCGTAATAAAAATGTGACCGAATATTCCGTGTCCGGTGATGTTTATTGGAACACATGTGAAAATTCTGTTTGAATGGTCTAATACGACGAGACAGTGATTGTGTGCCGCATCAACACACAGAAGCGAGCATTCAGCCTCCAATTACCGATTACAGTTTGTCATCCCATGAGCAATCTGTTCTTGCCACTGGCATCGTAACAAAGTTGTGCTTCATTATAAATCAGATGAATGGAGGTTAATCTATCAGCTTTTGGAATAAAACTGTGGCTGAGGAAGTTTAGTGCTCTAATGCGGATTGCGTTATGCCAGTAGCACAATGCCCTTAATATACTGTATGCAAACCGAGAGAGAGGACATTGTGTATGATAGTATATTTGGACCCATCCTACATTATTTCATCGACTCAACAGCTCTGACTGCTAAGACGTCCTTCAGCATTTCAGAACCGGAAGGCTCTTTACCATGTTAAAAAAGACCGATTTTTTATGTTCTTCTGAGTTAGTTATTTCTCAAAGGTCTGTTTTATATTACCATCCGATTCACGCCTCGAAGTGGTATCTGCTCCTAGGGATTTCCAACCAAGATTGGAATGTAGGATTTGTGGTTCTCACGGCGGTTAGCTGGAAGATGGCCGTCTTCTGGGTTATAGCGCCGTATAGTCTGGTAGAAGTTTATCGACGTTATAGATGTCCATCATCAGGGCGATGAGCAAGCCGCTCGCGTGGAATCGGTTTGAGACACAGGAACCAGTCAATCTAGGCAAGGTCAGAATTAGGCGAGTCCCAGGGAGCCATTCGGAAGGGGGGGGGGGGAACCACAGCATGGCCAGCTGTGTGCTATACTAAAAATTACCGAGGCGGCACTGTGGGCTTGTCTTCGGTTGGAACTCGGTCGGGTGCACGGCATTTCTGAGGTACTTCTGTCTTCCCAAGCGAAAGCCGGGCGCGTATGTCTTTAAATAGGCAGCCTCTCTCCAAAACCGTAGGCATTTTTTTATTGCTGCGATAGGGTAATACTGTCTGTGTAACTGGGCCTCTAATGGACCAGGTGTTTACATGAATGAATATGGAATGGCGGTGGAATGATGTTGAATAGTTCGTCCACATCCTCAGTGTACTGAAGTTGTACTCTGTGCAGTAGGTACCCTGAGGATGAGGACGAAGATTCTCGAAACGTAGATGTTTTCTCCATTAAACCACTTTACACTGCTAGTAGCCCGAGAATAATTTATTATAATAATGTTCTTGTACACCCACACACTTTCTGTGCCATTTAAATAAGTTGAAATTCACAGCTTCGTCGATTAGGCCCATCTCGTCTAATGTTTCTTCAGTAAGCACACGGCGTTCTTTTTAGAATGTTTCTTATCCAAAAGTGATCCATTAGACGTGACTTTTTTAGTTTATGGATTCCTGATGTATTTGAAATTGTGATTCCGAGAAATTTACGACGTAATTTTTTCCGACGCCTTCCACCACATTCATAAAAAACACGCTGTTCAATTGTATATGGAACGATATCCACACTCAAACACACAATAATAATCAGCACTTAACACAATGTCGGACACAGATGCGCTGGAAAGCGAATCATTTTGCGGCAACTTCTGTTAAGTGTTGGTCTGAATCTCGCACAAGTGACTGTTGCGTGTATGTCAGCAAACACACTCTATAAATTATATCCAGAAATTCAGTGTCAATAGTTTAAACAATTATTGAATAATTCTCAAAAGATCGCTCTAAGATCATTAATGCGTTAATTCATGGTACAAGGAGTATTCATATTTTATTTTCCTGCATAATAATAATCATAATACTGACACTCATTGTGACGTCTATAGTGTCATTAGCATCGCATAAACAGATTCGTATCTGCAGTAAATCAACATCAAGACTACTGAAATACGCAGCGTAGAAATTAACTTATTTATAAGTGCATGTACTCCACTCCATTCTAGTATACATTTTTAATCCTGTTTTAACATGAATCTGAAGGCGTTTCTTGCTTGTTTGGTAACTGACGTAGGTAGTGAAACTTCTCGCTCGTTAGTACTGACTTAATTAAGGTATTCAGCTTTTCTTTTACGGGAAAGGAGAAAAGTAATAAGAACAACAGAAAAAGTAATGAAATGTTGAAAAGAAAGGGACATTGTTTCGCAGACTATTCGTAATAAAAATGTGACCGAATATTCCGTGTCCGGTGATGTTTATTGGAACACATGTGAAAATTCTGTTTGAATGGTCTAATACGACGAGACAGTGATTGTGTGCCGCATCAACACACAGAAGCGAGCATTCAGCCTCCAATTACCGATTACAGTTTGTCATCCCATGAGCAATCTGTTCTTGCCACTGGCATCGTAACAAAGTTGTGCTTCATTATAAATCAGATGAATGGAGGTTAATCTATCAGCTTTTGGAATAAAACTGTGGCTGAGGAAGTTTAGTGCTCTAATGCGGATTGCGTTATGCCAGTAGCACAATGCCCTTAATATACTGTATGCAAACCGAGAGAGAGGACATTGTGTATGATAGTATATTTGGACCCATCCTACATTATTTCATCGACTCAACAGCTCTGACTGCTAAGACGTCCTTCAGCATTTCAGAACCGGAAGGCTCTTTACCATGTTAAAAAAGACCGATTTTTTATGTTCTTCTGAGTTAGTTATTTCTCAAAGGTCTGTTTTATATTACCATCCGATTCACGCCTCGAAGTGGTATCTGCTCCTAGGGATTTCCAACCAAGATTGGAATGTAGGATTTGTGGTTCTCACGGCGGTTAGCTGGAAGATGGCCGTCTTCTGGGTTATAGCGCCGTATAGTCTGGTAGAAGTTTATCGACGTTATAGATGTCCATCATCAGGGCGATGAGCAAGCCGCTCGCGTGGAATCGGTTTGAGACACAGGAACCAGTCAATCTAGGCAAGGTCAGAATTAGGCGAGTCCCAGGGAGCCATTCGGAAGGGGGGGGGGGGAACCACAGCATGGCCAGCTGTGTGCTATACTAAAAATTACCGAGGCGGCACTGTGGGCTTGTCTTCGGTTGGAACTCGGTCGGGTGCACGGCATTTCTGAGGTACTTCTGTCTTCCCAAGCGAAAGCCGGGCGCGTATGTCTTTAAATAGGCAGCCTCTCTCCAAAACCGTAGGCATTTTTTTATTGCTGCGATAGGGTAATACTGTCTGTGTAACTGGGCCTCTAATGGACCAGGTGTTTACATGAATGAATATGGAATGGCGGTGGAATGATGTTGAATAGGAGAAACCTAAGATCTTGTAGAAAATCCTGCCCCAGTGGCACTTTGACTACCACAAATCCACAGATACCACCTGGATGACCTTTACGCGAACCCCGGCCTCCAGCGATTAGGCGCCTGAGCTATGGCACGGCCAAACCTTTGGCTTACCTACTCATATCGTTCAATCTTGTCTGACACTGTTAATTTCTGCAGCTGTAGCATCGTCGCCAAATAATAAAATGAAACACGTTTAAAATAAATACGTTGCATAGCCTACAACAATTTAGCGTGCAACAAAATAGTTTTGCGTCATAAGGGCCTCTTTTGTTTACTTGCACGCAAATTGCTAAAGTGGCTGCATCATTAATTTTAGATTACACTTCCAAATACAAGTTTCGCCGCTTCCTTTCTGTTACTCAATCCATCATCAATCATCGATATTGATATCCTGAATAAAAGATTGCAACAGAAACTTGAAAGCGAAGTTTTTGCATGCTTTGAAGAAG